CCAGGAGAACTGCAGGTTAGTTCAAGGGTTAGTTAGGGTGAGGTTGKTCCTCCAAGAGTTCAATCCTCACAAGTTTGACCTTTGCTCACATACAGCTGCAGAGTAGGAGCTGCTTCTTTCATCACATCCAATGTGTGCACAGTYTACTTCACTAGTAATACATTTTTTACTTAAAATGTGAGTTGATTTTTTTTTCTTTCCTTCTTGTTTAGTGGCTGAACAAGACTCATGACAGAGATAGGAAGTCCCAGCTTGCTAATTTTGGTCAGTTTTAATTTAAAGAAAGGCTGAGCAGCCTAACATAAGTTTTTATACAGTTGTACGTTTACTTTTTTATTTTAATTGAAATTCCCTCTGGTACAATATTTAAAACACTTTCCTGGGTTCAGTGGCTCCTAAAAGCAGAGCTTCACATCGTGTTTTAAAAGGCCATGCTCACTCTTTTTGTTARCAACTGCAGTCTCCGGAAGCCATCTTGAACAAAACAAAAGGTAAAACCCTTGGCTCATATGGAGGTACTTGATGTGGCAGGACGCCAATTTTAATTTTACTCTCCAGCAAGTGCGTGTGTGTGTGGGTAAGTGGGTGACTTCTGTATACAAAGAACTTGAATTTAATACCATTTTCAACTTGTCAGTTTACTAATCGCTCATGCTTTTCTTGAAAAGGTCGTTCTAAACAAATTTTGCCCAAAAATACTTTATGTTTTTGTTATAACTGAAGTATTAAATTGCCTGTTTTTGTTATTTTTTGTTTATAAAGCAAAACACTTGACTTTGCAGTGTCCTTCTGCAGCAGAAAACATAAATTGATCTTGTGGTTACTTACTATCTCGTGACCACAAAACAATAACAAAAAAACGCAAGATGATTTTGGACAGCTATGTCTCCTTGTGAAAATATGACCTATTATCAGTGTTATTATTATTATTATCAGTGTTATTATTATTATTATTATTATTATTAAGTGGTTTGTCTAAGTGGTTTATCTTTCTTAGCGTGTTTATAAGATGGAATGAACACTATAGGTCAGCAAAACAGATGTTCCTTAACATGGCAAAATGTGAATAKATTTTCCAAAATAGTTTTTACGCTCACTTGAAGTGGTTTTTGGATATTTTGAAAGAGTCAATGCACAAAAAAGGAGATGGAAACACATTTMTCYAAGCTTTTAAAAGGAAAAATATATTGTGGCCATGCATTATTATCCTGTGGTCATGTGTTATTTAGCTCACAGCCAATCATTGTTATCTTGTTGCCACAACATGGTCGATCACACATGATTTATCTTGTGGCCACAATATACTTTTCCTTTTAAAAGCTTCAACAAATATGTTTCCATCTCCCTTTGTGTGCATTGACTTTTTCAAATCATCCAAAAACTACTTCAAGCGAGCATAAAAATATTTTAGCAAAATCGAAGACATTTTTTTTCGAGTTTTGCCATTTCCATCAACCTTTTCAAATGTGTTACTTCAAAATGTGCATAAGAAACGTTGATGGAAACACTGCTACTGTACTGTAAATAAATCTTATCTGGTTAAAGAGACATTTCTCGTGACTTATATATAGAAAAACGTTTGAGAGATCCTTTTCTGACAACAGCATGCTTATTCCCAAGTAGGTTAAAAATCAGTACACCTCTCTAAATATGTTCCTTTTCAAAGTGTTTTCTCTGACTGTGACATCTCCTTAATGCTTCCACTGAGGTTCCAGCCAGACCCCTTCTCTACTGCAGAAAGCAAAACAAATGACTTGACATTTTACACACAAAGTGGAAGCGATTTGTCTGCTTGCAAATACTTGTTAATCAAAGTTTAATGATGTAGCACGTAGCATTAAAGCGCAGCGATAAGTTCTTGGGCTGAGAAAGCTTAAGTGCTCCAAGAAAGGCAGTGTCTCACCTCGAAGCAAAAGGCAGAGATGGGTGACGCACAAATGCAAAACTGACCATAAAAGAACCAAATGAAGTGTTGGAAACACAAGTTGGAACATGTTAAAATATGTGATATTAATGATAGGGTTAGATTAGTTTGAGTATCCTAACACTGGATGGGAAAATGCAGCAAAAGCATTTTTAGGAGCTCAATTAAAAATATTTTAATGTTTTTTTTTTCCAGAAAAGATAAAAAAAAAGCTGCTGAGCACATGCAGACATATTTCCTTTTATTACAGCGAAGTGGCAGCTCATGTTGGTCTGTTTGAATTAAAAGTGGGATGTGTGTGTGTGTGTCTGTGTGTGAGTGTGTGTGTCTGAGCGAGGCAAAGAAATCACATCAATGTATTATCTGAGCTGGAGCAAGATAGGAGATGTTTCCCCTTTCAGGATGCTGGGCAGGTTTGAGATTGAGGAGTCTGAACAGAGAGGGGGGGACAAACGCGTGCGAGCCAGAGGGCGGAGGGGAGCGGATGAGCTGCGGAGATGATAATGCAGCATGACACCTCTGAAATGAATCTCCCGTTACCATGGCAAAGAAGCAGGACGGGACAGTCTCTCAGGAGCCTGAAATAAAGCCAGCTGTAAATGATGTTTGATTAGTATTTAGATTGTGTTCCTGCAGCAGAAACATTTTGTCAGCTGTTTTCTGGACTCACTCCTCTGATTTGGCTGTCTCCAAGCTTTATTTTGGTCTTATAGAGGCTATCATATGCAGCTTTTTTTTAAACACAAATATCAAGTGCATTTGGGATGCCGTAGTTTATTTATTCAATATGTAAYTACACACCTGACAATCCTGTTTGCTAAAAGCTTAAGAGATGTGAAAAATGTTTGTTCACCACAAAGCAAATATGGAACCAGCGTTTTTATRCATGCATGTTAAGCAGCACGTGTTTTGATATGTGCATACATTGCTGTGAAATGGAAAACTAGTTTTCAGAAGCACAAGTTTAAAAGAAAATGGATTTCACAACTGCACCTTTCATGGTTTGCAGACCACATGACAGACAGCTGCATAGGTCTTTTTTTGTCCACTGCTTTTCTTTGCTCCTCTCTGTTTTCTTGTGTCAACCACGCCAACGATGGACTGCTTACTAAGCTGGAACTAATCACATCTGACTGCTATCTGTCTCCATCAATTACACACTATTGGTGCCGCGTGTCCTCCTGCTGCCAAACGGTGACAAAGATCCAACAGCCCACCCGCAAACAACACACGTGTGAGCGCTTAAGTGCAGAATTGGCTTCAAGATGCAACCGTGATTTAATTGATTGATTTTTCTTGATTATTCCTAACTTTAATGAAGTTGATAAGGAGAGGCTGAGAGCAGAGAGGTGGTGGGTTCTTTGTGGGGGGAGGGAGTGAGACTGAATGACAATTACT